AAATTAAAGGAATTGTTTAAAACAAAGGTATTCTATCTACTTAATTTTTTAACTTTCTTCTTCCAGCGCTGAAATTCCCATTTCAAGGGAGTAATAGGCAGATGGAGGTACCGTGAGCACAGTGGACCGCCACGGCGATTTCCACGAAAACTGAAATGAGCCGCGCACATCCCCTCTGGGGATGTGACCTGGCTCCTGAGGGCCTCGCATGGGGCTGGGGGCACGGGGGCATGGCTGGACCCCTTGCGTTTGTCTCAAGCTGAGCGGCTGTGTGGTGCTCGATGGTCAATGGGTGACCCAGTTCCTCTCAGGCTGCGGTTCTCAACCTTTGAAAGAAAATGCCAAGTGAAAATAGATTTTAGTGGTCCTGCGTTAAGCACCCACAAACACTTGCTGTGGGTCGGAGATACTGCCGGGAGCCTTGCTCCCCTGACGTGAGGGGCACTCACAGCTCACAGCATGGAGGTGGCTTATGTGCCGGGGCCTGTGCTTTCTGCCTCAGCACCTCCTGGTCTTCCCCCAAATGCCCCACATGTTCCCGTCCCAGGATGCCCACATCCTCATCTGGAGGTGAGCTCCTAACAGCGGGAAGCAGGCTCATCAACCTCCTCGGAGCGGCCCTGCCTTGAATCTCCCCGAGGGGAGCTCCTTCGCAGCTCACTGCCCGACTCCCTGACGTACAACACGCCTCTACGCAGTGGTTCCAGGCCGCCGCCAGGCTGCACCTGCTCCAGCCGTTTCGACTAGCCGCTCCCAGAAACCCACCTGGGTCAGCACTGCTGATACAAAAGGAAGACCTGCTCCTGTGGTTAACTGAGAGCTGATGCTCCTAGAACGTGACTTGCGTTTCAGCGGCGACCGCTGGACCCCCAGTCCCACAAGGCTCAGAGGACAAACCTGAGGTAAGGTTTTCTGGGGCAAAACACACTGGAACAGAAATCTGGACTCAGGGCTGCTTGGACTGCCCACCAGGCAGCTCCCTACCCTTTGTGCTCTGACCACGTCCACCAACCTCAGCCTCAGGCCTCGCCCCCCTGCTGCCAGGGGACATTGTCATATGTGGTTCCCAGACAGTCTGCCAGCTCATAACTGGATGTGGCAGAATATTATTGGGACTGTGCTTGATGGCTTGTCCCTGAGGAGAGAAGTCCCCTGGGGCGGGTGCAGGGTTGTCCTTGGGGGAATGGGTGTCACGGGGCTTGAGTTCTGTCTTTACAAATGGGCCTCACTTGTGGACATTGTTAACAACATGCTCTGCCCGGTCATTGTTTTCAGTATGGAAGATGGGGGAAATGTGTGAGTTACTCTGTAGACGTGGCCTAGCTTAGCCTCGAGGCGTTTGTGGAACTGGGGAGAGCAGAGTTTGGGAGTTGTGACGAATCAGTGCTAACGGTTATAGCTGCACTTAGACGTTTCAGCTCCTTGCAGATCTGGAAGCTTTGGCTATTTCAGGTCTGGGGGAAGTGAGAGTCGGCCTTGACTGTCACGGAGGTCAGTGGTCCCCAGATGCTGGCTGAGGACCAGGGCCTCCCTGTGACAAAGTCTCACTAGTCCGACAACATGGAAAAAGAGGATGGTGAAATGTGAGGCTACTACCTGGACTTCTATGGGCTTTTATTTATTCTGAGATTATATGCTTCCTTCATCTCTATTCTTAAAACTGTCATCTTATAAAAATAATGGTGGTAGCTGATGATAATTGTAGTTTTAAAAAATGTTCTTGCATTACAAAATTGGTCATTAACCTTATTTTGGTAGTCCTAACATTTTACTATATATATATAGTGTACTCAGAAATATTGGAGAACCATTGACCTTGACATACTTGCCCATGAGATATTTTGAGGCCGCGACAGATTTTCTTTTTGTAACTTGCTTGAGTTAGTGCAAACATCTTTGAAAAAGCATAGGTAAAAAACACTTCCAAACGTGAATCCAAGCAAAGAAGCATTTCTGAAGAGCTATAACATGCCTTGGTTTAACAAACCCACTATTTAATTTTATCAGTAAATTTATCTTCAGTTGACCAATTCTTGGAAATATGACGGCATTGCTCAAGGCCAAGAGAACAAGGCCAGTGGTTCTTGAACTTGAGCTTGCATGAATCACCTAGAAGTCTTGTTAAATGCAAATTGTGGGACCCCTTCTCCTCTGAGTCAGTAGGTCTGGGATGTGACCTGAGAATCTGCACTTCTAACAGGTGCCGAGGGAGGTTTTGGGATTGCATACTTGGTGAGGTAAAAAAAAAATAATAATAATGTCAGGATTCTGATTTAACTGTCTGAAGTACCAGTTGGGGCACTGGGATTCTTAAAAGGGCCCCAAATGACTGGAAAAGTTTGAGAACCACTGGACTAGGTAGCAGGTTTAACTGTGACAATCTAAAGATGTTCATGACTTAGGTACCAAAGCTTATTCCTCAGGCTGCGGGTCCACCGCAGGATGTTGGTGGTGGGTGGGTGGGGGGTGCTCTGGTCCACACAGCCACTCAAGAGCTCAGGGCCCTGTGGTCTACGCCTTCCGTGGCTGCTGCAAGGGAAAAGCTAGCCTGCTGGTTCTCCAGTGATGCAGCCCAGAAGCGACTCCAAGTGCTCTGTGTCCCAGGTGATTCGTCACAGGAAGTCATGCCCCCTAATTGCCAGGAAGCTGGGAATGCCGAGGAGGATATGGCCTTTGGGAAGCAGTGAATTTCTCTGCTGGGATGATAATCCTTTGGTGCAGTGAGATCTTCAAAGACCCTGATGCTGATACTTCTCTAAAAAGTGGCTCCTTGATTGTTACTCTTACAGCACCCTTTTTTTTTTCTGTTGTAAAATGCTTACCCACTCACAATTTAGAAAATACCAAAGGGTCTGAGGAAAAGAATTCCCCTACAATCCATTGCCTAGGGATAACCACCTAATTTCTGGTGTGTATCCTTCCAAGAAATTTCTTCCATTTATATTCCTTAGCACAGTTAATTGTTTTAAAACATTATTTTGTAACCTGCTTTTTAAACACTTCCCCATTTTGTTAAAATTAAGTTAGTTAAAATGTTGTTAAAATACAATTCCAATGCAATTGCATGAGTAATATGACAATATAATTGGTCATTCCCTCATAGTTAGGTTCTGTTTGTTTTTGTCAATAGTTTACTATCACAAATAGTATTTCTGTGGACATATTTATGAATGACTTCTTTCCCCTCTGTATTTCTGATTGCTTACTTGGATAGATTTCTAGAAATAAATGAACAGCTTTATTTTAAGTCACCTGGCATTGTTCAGAAGCTATCTCTACACAACGTGTATTTAGTGAGCACAAGTCACTGGTGGAGAAATCATTGACCTTGGCACCTGCCTTTAAGTAGCTCAGAGTTTAGGTGGGGAATAAGAGAGAAACACAAACCCCAAAGAGAGCAGGAACTACGGTTATCTCTTCTGAAAACCTTCCTGTCTTACATGAAGTCCTAGGAGAAGAGCTCAGTGCCCCCTGGGCATCCCAGGTGAGGGTTCTGATCAGAGTGTGCGGTCACATCGCTGCAGGGTACTGGGCAAGTTGTGTGAATGAGGTCACTGGATCAGGTCACTTCTGGGGCGCCATTCTATGCCCCTTTAAATGGTCAGAGGGTGTGGGTAAGCTGGGTGTGTAGTTTCCTTTTTAAAGTGTCTAATTATGTCTAGCAATCTGGGACGGTTTCCCGGGGACTTGCTGGAAGGCATTGAGGTGCCCAGTCCATTTCTGCTCTGGGACTCTGATGATACCTTCTTACAACCCAAATCATTGATGAAGGGGTCAGAGGAGCTGAGGAGCTGAGCTATGAAGAGCTTTTAAAAGGAGGAACTTAATGAGGAAAATTTGGTATTGGAAACAAATATTAATGGTAACAGTGTAACTCTCATTAGCTATGGGAGGGGTCTCTCCAAACTCTTTACATACATCATTCCATTCAATCTTCTAGGGCTCTGGGAGGTAAGTGCTTTTCTCCCCATTCTACAGATAAGAAACTTGGAGTTCAAAGAGGGGACACCAACTGTCAGGGTGTTGTCCTGGAGAAAGTGAGGTCATAGCAAAATGAAAGAAAAGCAAAATTAGCTAATTCTTGTCTTTTGAGTCTGAAGGCTGAGGTCAAGGCCTAATAAGGGCATTTTCTGAGATTCCTTTAGAGGGATAATTATGCTAATAAGAGCTTTCTTCTGAGGTGCTGTGTTTATAAAGTAACAGCCTGACCCATCCCTTAACTCCAGAGCATTTTTTCTTCTGTCACAAACTTGGTCTTTTCCCGCACTGCAGCTTCCTGTTTTCATGGGGATGCTGTGGGTTGAGCCAGAGAAGGCCTCTACCCAGAAAAATGTTGGTAAAACCTGGTAGTTTGGAGCCTCAAGTGCATTTGCTTGTGGAAAATGTATTAGAGCTGCCTAGGCCTCAGGTGACTTCCACATTCTTGTTTCCCAAAATGTGGCTGGGCTGTAGTAGAGGGTCCTTTCCTGTGCTGGCGGCAAAGGACCACTGAGATGGAAATGGGGGGGCCACCAAGAGCAGCAGTGACTCCAGCTGGGCCCCGAGTTTGGAAATGGAAGCAGTTTGTCTTTGGCCTCATCTTCTTTGTAAGTCAGCATCCTTGCCGCCTGTTCCCTAAGTTCTTAATTCTCACTGACATGTATCGGATACTATGTTCCAGGCTCAGTCCCAAGCACTTACACATGATAATGTATTTAACCCTCATGGTAACTTCATGGTACCATCCCATTCTACAGATGAGGACACTGAGGCCCAGAAAGGTCAAGTAGCTTTCCCAGGATCATAGCTGGTGAGGGAGGAGAATGAGATTTGAACCTGGGTGGTGTTTATGCGCTTAAGGGTGCTCTGTCTAAAGCTTCTCAGGGAAAGCCCCATCTGGCCCAGGTCTACCCCTCTGGGTCGTCTGTGCTCTGAATTAACTACATCTTTCCAAACCCAGTCAAAACTCCCAGCTCTTATAGTAGCAGAATGCTAATTTACGCTAATTTGTGAGTGGTTTGTAAGAGGCTTTGTCTTCGCAGAAGGGTTTGTACTTGAAAAGAGAATGCTGGGGACCCACAGAGGGGTGGAACTCCAGAGATGAGACTGTGTGAAGGAAGGGGTATTTAGGAACAGACTACTCTCCTCTAGGGGTCTGCCCCCTGGGCCAGCGCTGCTGAGCTGGCCTCGCCGTGGGCAACACCCTTACTTTCCCCTCCCAATTTTCATTTCATAGTGTCTTCATTGTTTGCAAGGATGCAGAGCAAGGGAAGGAAAACAATGCCAGGGAGGTTTTGCACGTAGAGGGTTAATAAACCAAAGACTGCTGGGCCTCCCGGAAGCCCATTGAACGTAGTAGCTATTTCTGAACCTTTGCTCTGTGCTGGGCACTCTCACACATTCTCATCTACGTACCACCCTTGTAAAAATGCGTGCCATCATCACCACCTCACAGGTGAGGAATCAGACTCTCAGAGGCATCAGGCAGCGTGTCCAAGGTCGCACAGTGACTACACAGCAGAGCCAGAATTTGGACCCAGAATCGTCCTGACTCCAGTGGTTGCATTCTTAAGGGCAGTCGTGTTGGCCTTTTCCTGGCTTTTTGATGACTACTGTAACTGCATTCTGAGGAGGATCCTCTGTGCAAGGTCAGAAATTCAGCTGTGACTTTCATTGTTTGCATGCAAATTACTGCTAGTCTCTGCTGATGTGCTTCCTTTCAAGCTTACGCAGCAAGTGCGAGAGTCTCTGGCTCCCTGGGCAGCTGCCTTGCAGCATTGCCTCATTCTGTCTCCAGTCCTCCTGTTACCGACCCAGGGGAGGGCCGAGGAGTGCCTGGCCCAGGCCAGCAGGCCAGGAACTGCCTGGGCAGTGACTCCAGCCTGAGTCTCTGAAACAGCAGGGTTTTTTCAGAGACGCTTTACCCAAGAGGAAGGGAAAAAACAGTAACTGAGTTTCAGCTGACCTTAAAGCCCCTGTGACCACTGTCCCTGTCATTTAGAGAGCTCACATATTACTCAGCTTCTCCATTGTGCAGCTGGAAAAAATGCCCACGCTGTGTCATCTTCAGTAGCCACTGGGCAGTTTGATCCCCGATGTTTATTTTTTGTGTATGTTGAAGTTTCAGGATGAGACTGGGTATCTGGGTGGATATAAAGTGCAGAAACTTTCCCCCCTATTCCCTTTCAAGGGCCACACCCTGCATGGTTTGGGCAAGTAAGGACAGATGGCCAGCACTGAGGCACAGAGGGGCCGGGTGAGGCTGAGGTCCGGCTCTGTCCCAGGGAGGCTGCGGGATCCGAGCTGGCCCTTCTGGACGACTGAGCAAGGCTGAGGGGACCTGGGCTCTCTTGCCTGCTGGGAGCCACGGGCAGCACACATGGGCGGGGCGGTGACAGCGAGGAAACTGGCTGGAGAATCTGTTCACTGGGGAGCCTGGGGGATACAGTCGGAAGGGACCGGGTGAGCCGATTTTTTTATAGTGGAGGACTCGAGCGCCCTGCAGAGGAGGCCGACCCGGAGGCGGTCGGGGTGCGGGCAGTGCAAGTTTGCAAAGGAGGGTCACGAGGAACGCAGAGATGCAGAACCACCTTGGAAGTTGCCGGATGGGAGAGACAGGAAGCAGCGATCTCGCTCACAAGGCCTGCGGGCTGAGGCCCTGGCTGGGGAAGTGGCTGTGAAGCAGCAGGGGCCACCGCCAACACCGCCAGTCACTCAGAGGAGCCGCAGAGGCGGGCACGGTGGCAGGGAGCTCGGGTGCCTGGGAGGGGCCGCTGCAGAATCATTAAAGGGAAAGTGGTTTTGATGTAGAGGGGATATTAGTCTTGTCCTTTCCTTCAGCAGAATTTTAAATGTCAGCATCACAAACACACATGGGAAGAGCACAGATGGTGGGTGCGCCCCCAAGAACCTTCGCGCCGCAAACCCCGTGTCCCCAGCACCCGGACCAGGAGCCAGCACCGCGACACCCGCGCTCCCTGTCCCTTCCCTCCGCCCCCTCTGCCGAGCTCACCGCCATTCTGTCTCTCGAAACCTTGGCTCACTTGTCTTCCCTTCAGTAGGGTCGTGAAGCGCACCCCACTGTGGCTCGTAGGCTGGGTCCCTCCCTCCCCCGCCTTCTGCTCTGTAATAGCTCGGTTCGCTCATCTCACCTTCTACTGGTGGGCGTTTGAGTCGTTCCAGGGCAGCGCCGTCAGGACTCGGGGTTCTATGCACAGCCCTGTTCGTGTCTCCGGTGCACGCGGGAACACGCCTCCCACGTGTGTGTAGAGGGGCAGACTTACTGGGTCAGAGGGCACAAGTGTGTTCAGCTCCCATCCACACTGCCAAACATGTGCTTTGATTTTAAGTGACAGCCCTGAAACAAGACAGAAGATGCGTTAAACCTGCAGCTCTTGACAGAGCAGAGACGAGCTCAGGTTTAGCATCACGGAGCAAAGCTGTAGCAACTCCAAGATGCGGCTCAAAGCCACTTCCGTCCCTGAGCAGCATATTTGGGCTCATGAGGGGACCACGCCCATCCCAGCAGAGAAGTGCCGGTGGCCATGTCAGGTCTGCTAGACTGTCAGCCAGGAGGACCCCCAGACCGGCTCTCTGTGCCCTTCCTCTGCTCCTTCTGGGATGTATGCAAAAACCAGTTTTTAAAATTCTTGTTTTTCCTGAAAGGTTGGACTTCCCCTGGGTTTGTGGCATGTGCTCCCTTGTGCTAATCTGTTTCTCACAGTTCCATTTCTCACAGCTTTGGAATAATTGCTACAGTTTTAGCATTTTGGAAGCATGCAGTGGGGGAGGGACGAAGGGGTTCAGGCTGTTTCAAACTCCTTTGCATCTTATGAAAAAAAATAAGGGCTGTGTTCTGTACGACCAAATACTTCTGTAGCCCAGATGTGAGCTGGAGGCCTCTCTGCCCCACAAGAGCCATGTAAAATCAGCTCAGACCTCTGCTCCCTGCAAGCCAGCGTCCCTCTCCAAGACTGCTCCTTAGTCCCAAGGAACAAGAGCTCTCGGGACCACGCCTCAGGCTGTGTTCCCGACGTGGGCCTGGAGACGGGCAGCCTCGGCACCACCTGGGGGCTTGTTGGAAACGAGGTCTCTCAGTTCCTACGCTGAAGTCCAGAAAGTCCTTTTCTTTCTGCTGAACCAGAAAGGACATTTCCCCCTGGTCCCCCGGGGCGTGGTGCATGGTCCGGTTTGAGAAGCATGGCTCTAGGGGAAGAAAGGGACCCCTAGAGTCTAACAGATGTGGGTTCAAATCCCTTCTCTGCCGTTTACGAGCTGCTGACCTTGAACCTGTCCGTGAGGCTCAGTTTTCTCCTCTGTGAGAAGATGCTCATGTCTCCAATGCCACGGAAGGGACAGTTTTTCTTCCCTCAACCTTTGGGTGGATAGTTACAGTACTAGCTTCATAGCACGGGTGCAAGTAGCCAGGCCTCTCTTTCCACTGTGTGACAGTGTGTTCTACTTAGGCTGTGGCCTGTCCAGAGAGCAGTGCCTGAGAGGCGGGGTGAGGCCCTAGAGAATGACGCGGGCCTCTTGGTTCCAGACAACGGAAACCTCGCTTGAACCAGCTTGTACAAAAGGGGGTTGGCTCGGGGTCTCTAAGGAAGGGCTGAGCCCAAAGCAGACGGGGTAGCCGGGACCCAGGAATCATCAGATCGCGGAGCCGTGAATGCTTAGGGGCTTGCTGTCCATTTTTCTACCCTCTGGCTTTGGGTGTGTTGGTTTTATTCTCATTGAGCCCTGGATTTTCCCACGTGATGAGAAACGTGGCCACCGTTTCTAGTCCACGAGGTGGCAGATGTTCTCTGCTCCTGCAGGAGTGAGGCAGCGTGATGGACGCCTGTGTCTGTACAGCCGGAGGGGGGCTTCAAACCAAAGGGAAACAAGCCCCAGATACGGCAAGTGAAGGGAACGGCCCTTCTTTGAGTCCAGCCGTTTGCGTTTCATCTTTTCATTTGGGATTTGCTCACAAGTTGCCCACGGCTCAGATGCCTCCGTTACATGGTAACCGATCCCCAGGGAAAGGGTGTAAATTTGGAGGGTGTGATGTCTTTAAACAAAGAAGGGTGGGGGTACACAGTCAGGAGCCCCCCCACACTGCAGGGGGATTTGGGGAGCCCGCAGTAAGAAAGGTAGAGTTTGGAAGAGATCAGATCAAACGCTGCGATGTCTTCATCTTTGGTCGATGGGGGCAAGAGAGATGGTTAGATTCTGGAAACCCCGATGGGAATTAACACCCACAGGAGAAGAGCCCGTAACGGCTGAGGGGAAAGCAGGCCCCCGAGGCCCTTCAAACGTCTGCACTTTCACCAGAATGAATTGCTAAGTTAGGAGAATATCGGTAACATTTAGCACCCTCCTGTGAGTAAGGACAAATAGGACATACGTAACTCTCATTTAACATTCCTACCTGGGAAGGGCTTTTTCAGAATCTCTTTCCTCTTTGTTTTAACAAGATGCTTTTAAATCCACTGTGTTTTGTTGCTCAAAATAGGTACCTTACACCACCAGCCCTGGAGCAGTCTTTGTACCCTGGATGTCTACTTACTACCGTCCCATTTTCAGGAAAGGGGGCTGCAGTATTGTGTGTGCCGGTTCTCCGTGAGTCCCAAAGGTCTTTTCCAGACCCCTCCTTCCATTAGGGGTGTCCAGAAGTGCTCTGATGCAGGGCTTCCCAAACTGAGTTAAAATGCAGATCCTGACCGGGCAGGTCTGGGGAGTGGCTGAGAGTCGTGGGGAGGCACCTGGCGCAGGGCATCCGGGCAGGGCTGCGGTGCGATGCCAGCCCCTTCCCAGTCCGTCTCCCAGGCTTCAGTGGAAGCCTCCCCTTCTCTGCCAGCTGCTTCGCTTCTCCTAGTCCCATGTTCTTGTATTCTCATTATCCTATAATTCTGTATCAGCCCGTAAAAAACAGGGCGGTCTTTTTGAATCAGATTTCCCTCAGGCTGCTCAAAAGGGGATTCAGGAATAAGTCAGCATGACTAGCGTTTCTCACAGGGACTCTCACCAGCTAGGGTGAGGAGGGAGGGGGGAAAAGCTGGAGCAACTGGATGTAGAGCGCAGAGATTAGGAGACTCAGCGGAGGTGTGATCCCAGGGCCTGAGGGCATCCGACGGTCCACACTGCCTGCAGATGGGAGGGTCTGATCGCATGACTGGGCTCCGCTCGGTGTATGAGCTTCCTGGGCTCACCCACGCCTGCTCTTCCCTCCCTGGCACCCTCGCCCAGCCCCCCGCGGTTAGAAGGAACCACGCGGCCTTTGGTTTGTGGTGGAAGTGCCATGAATTGCCCCCTGTGCTGCACATACTGGCTGGCTAGCGTTCTTATCCCCTGCCCACCCCGCTGACCAGGAGGCCACGAGTCCCGAGGGGCCATGCAGGAGATGAGCCTTTGTCAGCCAGCTCTGCTGAGTCGCCCCAGGCCAGGTAAGCAAGAATTAAACTACTGCCTGCTGTGGCTTTAAGACGTGGGCAGTGTTTGTTACTGCAGCAAAGACTGGCTTATCCTCAATAATGCCCTTCCTGCTGAGGGAGGAAGGGAGAGGCATCCGAGTGGGGCCGCACAGAACCCCCTGCGCACAGATGTGGATCATGTGTAAAAGATGGAAGCAGGGCTGCATGTGGGCATAGAACTTGGGAGGAACAGAGGG